AGAGATTGAACTCAGACCTGTGCACTTGCCAGGGAAGTGCTTATTCTACTAAGGCATCTCCCCACTCCCAAGGGTACAGTTTCAAATCCATCCATGTACTATAAATGTCTCAAGTTTATCCTTCCTTATGGCCAACTAGTACTCCACTATATGCAAAAACCACATCCTTTTTAATACATTTATTGTTTGCAAGTCTTAGCTATTAGAAACTATTGTTACAAACATGCGTGCCAATATCATGGTATGTTGCTTTTATTTCTCTTATAAAGACACTCAAAAGGGAAATATCTAGGTCAAATTGGTTCTATAGTCCTAGTTTTTCTGAGAATCTCCATGCTGATTTTCCAGTTATTGCATCAGTCTGCATTTCAACCAACAGTGAAGAATGGTTTCTTTCCCCACACCTTTGTCAGCCATTGATATTGGCTGATTTCTTAATGATAGATATTCTTTCTGTACTGAGATGAAATCTCAGCATTGTTTTAATTTGCATCTCTCTCAAATGATTAGTGATGTTGAACATGTTTTCATATATATATATATATATATATATATATATATATATGTATATTTGCTGTTTATATTTCTTCTGAGAAGTGTGTATTCATTTCAAATGCCCGTTTTTGGATTGGATCTTTAAAATGGGGAAGCTTAACTTTTTTCAAATCTTTATAGGTAGATATTGTCCCTTTATCTGAGTAAAAAATAAAAATAAATTTTCCCTTCTCTATAAGTTGTCTTTTTAGTTTGTTGGTGATTTCTTTTCCTATACAAACGCTTCCAAATAAGATGATTTTCCAATTGTTGACACTTTGTAGTATTTCTTGGGTGATCAGGTTTTTCATGAAATCTGTGCCTACCCCTATATCTTGAAGAGTTCTGTCTATTCTCTCCTCCAGTACACTTAGTGTTTCAGTTTTAATATTTAGAACTTTGATCCATTTTAATATTAGTTTAGTGCATGTTTCTATACGTGTCTCGTTTTAGTCTTTGACATGTAGAAAG